AGAGAGAGAGAGAGAGAGAGAGAGAGAGAGAGAGAGAGAGAGAGAGAGAGAGAGAGAGAGAGAGAGAGAGAAGAGGGTCAAAGAGAACTGACGGATAAACGGTAGGGAAAGAAGGAGAAGAGGACAGCAATAAAAGTATTATTATTCCTATTATTATGAAAAGAAGACTGGTTATTTTACGCAATAAAAATAATAATAATTATTATTATTTAAAAAACTGAGCGACACTGACCTGCTCGGTCTGACTTCCAGGATAGGAGGTCAGCGGCACACGAGCTGCTGGCGATGGGTATAAAAGCGGACGATGCACACAGACCCTCTCGCTCCTTGTACGAACGCCCAACTCACTTTGCCTGCGATCCCGATCCCTTTTCCTCCCTTCCTCCCGATCCCTTTTTCTCCCTTCCTCCGGACCCCTTTTCCTCCCTTCCCCTCTTCTTCTTGCCCTGCTCCACAACCCCTCCTCCTCTTGCCAAACCCCACCCAACAGTTTCGCCGCCGCCGACAGTAGATATCAAGGGAAAGGGAGGTGAGTGCTTTCAGACTAGAGCACACCAATCAATAGATAGATAGGATAGAAACTGAATGAATATAGATAAGAATAGAGAACAGATACAGATAGAATGGGAAGTGAATATAGATCAGAATAGAAAACGGATATTACAGAATGGAATGGAAAACGGACTAGATAGAATAGCAAATAGCAAAGGAATAAAGATAGTCTACGAATAGAAACCGGGTATAGATAGAATGGAATAGCATGCCCGAGGACGGCAAGAGAAAGATCGACGACGGACCAATGAAGCCGCGTCGGCGCACTTCACCCTCAACAACTCCCTCCCTCCCTCCCTCCCTCCCTCCCTCCCTTTTCCCCCCGAGTCTGCTCTTGTCACGCAGCAATGCAGTGCGGCACACAGACAAATGCCACACAGAGCGCAGGTCTGAAAGCGGCTCTCCTCATCACGGACATAGTTTAAACCAGCGAAACTTCACCGAAGGTTCTCGATAAGGGCAGCAGCAGGGGAGGATTAATCATAAGAACCCGCCTGACTGATTGGTAGTAGGATAGGGCGAGCGAAACTTCACCGAAGGTTCTCGATACTATCGGTTTGCTATCGAAAGCGGATCCGCGTCAAGCTGTTACCACCAGGCGTACCCTGCGTACGGATCATCTGTTGGCATTGCCGTGTCACTGATTAGTTGGCTATTGGCTATTGGCTATAGACATTAATAACCATAGAGATAGAGAACCCACGGCTATTAAAGGATATATATTGCGCAGGGCAATGAAAATCATTGGCTGTCTATAGAGATCGTGGCGGCTATGCGAAAAGATCGAGTCGGACTGATTAGCCGTCGACTACTGGCGATTGGCTATTGGCTATTGGCTATTAGGTATAGCCCAGCGGGGCTATATAGCCGATGCCTAGAAACATTATAGGCAGCGGCCTTGAAACATTGCCTGCTGCCTGGTTATATGGCTATAGAGATCGGCTATCGACAATCAGCATTGTCTATTCGGCTATCGGCACTGTCTATCCAGCTATCAGCACTGTCTATTCGCTCTATAGACATTATCTATTCGCTCTATAGACATTGTCTATTCGCCCTATAGACATTGTCTATTCGCCCTATAGGCATTGTCTATTCGGCTATGTGCCTCGAGTGGCATCAACCGAGCGAGAGCGACAGGTGGCACAACCTCCCGTCGATAGGTTCTCCGCCGCTTCGCCGGTATACCGTTCGCTCTGGGCCTCGCTGTATATAACCCAATATATGGGTCACATACATGTGCGTACAGCCAGGTGCAAAATGCGGGCCGATAAAATTCCAAAAACTGCGGGCGGCTCGAAACAAAAACTTAAAAGAAGAAAAAAAAAGAAAAAAAAAACTTAAAAGAAAATTCGGGGGCGGTTAGAGAAGAAGAGAAGAAGGGAATGCAAAAAAAAAAAAAAAAAAAAAAAAAAAAAAAAAAAAAAAAA